GCGGTGCCCCACTAAGAACGAACTGCCCAGAGAAAATGAATAGGAATGCAATGCAAGAAATGGGAATTTATCGATATGGTAGAGGCTAAAAGAACAGATAAATGTCGAACCGGGGATAGCGTAACTTATACCACTGAGATAACTTATTCATCGCAGGTAAAAGGTAGCGGAGTGTTTCTATCTAGTTGACTTGATGCAGCGTTGCCTACCTACAACAGTTGTGTCCTGATGAGAATGCCACGTACGTAGCTCGCTTTTAACACACCTGTCGCCTCCCTGCCTCGGATGCACTGAACTACTTTCTATTCAATGAGAGACCAGGTAAGCTTTCAATTCCTGGTTCCAATCATTTGGGACCAGTACACAACACCAGGGTCAAGCATCACGTCAAGGAAACTTGGCCGTCAATTCAGCATCCTTGTCCCCCCTAAAAGTGGGAACACAATCTGATTCACGATGTCACAACTCTATTGACCACTGACTCCTGCAAATCAAATACGTCCTCTTCCTTCGTCAGTGGGCCTGAACCCCCCTTCCCGTTGAGGATTTCTTATCGGATGCTTGGCTTAGCTGAGACTGATGACGCAACAACAATACTAGTAAGCACCAAGGTAACGGCGGCTGTGACGATTCTGAATACCATCGACTTGTCACGTCGCTAAGGACGATGTTAACAAAAAACGTTGACATTTAGATCCTAACAAAAGATCCTAACAAACACAATATTCCTAACATATAACAAGTAAGGTGACAGGCAAACCCTAATGCCAGCTAGTGGAGTTTTTGCTCCGAGTACAAACTTTGTACGTATTACCGCTAGAAGAAGACGCGGGTTACGGTGGTTGCTAATGTCTGCAGTTTATTGAGGATGTCTACACTCCAAATCCCGCACATGGAGTGGGCGTGGCTTAGTATCATTCGAGCGTGGCGTAGGACACTCCTCGTGGGTAATTCCATTTGAGACAACTTTTACACTTCTTGTGCCAACAAAGGCATAGTTACAGTTGTCCCAAAACGGCTGTATGCCACCTAAAAGCGCAGTCGCCTCCATGCTCAAACGAAGTACGCAGCCACGCCTACTCCATGTGCAGGATATGGGTTGTGCTGCGCCGCGGACACACTCACATTCAATACATGGTTAATCTGAAAGGAAATGGGTCACTTAGTAATGGAATAACGGCTCTAGTTACTCTGAGGGGGAATTCTAGGGAATAATTGAGCAAAAGGGGAATGACGTCAGCCGAGTAGAAGTAGTGACCCTCAAACTGGTTTACCAAGCCCGGAGCTCCACTCGTTGGAAGACACGTTGTAACAACTTACAGTCTTGTTCGTTGCAGATGCTGTGGTTTGTCAGGGAGCTCATGGCGCGG